AAAAATAATAGCAACCTAGGAACTGAGTTGAACGGTTAGTGAGAAGAGTTACTGCAAACAGCGCTTCCTATAAGGAAGGAAAAAGGGAGTAAAGCTGTGATTCTTCAGCAGTTTCTCATGTGGAACACTTGGGCTTATAATGATTACAGTTCATGAGTAGTTCTGTCACTGGAGTTATTTCCCCTTTGTATTGTTTTCTGTCTCCTCCTGCCTCTAATCCAAATTCTAAAGAATAAGAGTGGGGCTAGTGTTTTTGCTGTTAAAGCCATGGCATTTTTCAGCCTACTGCTTACCATTAAGATAATTTTATTCATGTTGCTTTAGGTGCTGCCTTTCATCTATCGTGCCATTGGTTCAAAGCATCTTCCTGCCAGTAACATCAGTTTTATTCATCTTGATTCCCATCCAGACCTTCTTATTCCTGTGAATATGCCTGCAGACACTGTATTTGACAAAGAAGCTCTTTTTAGGTAAGACCTCAGTACTGCATCTGATTGCTCTAAGTCTACTTGTTGCTGCTTTGATTCACAGTGGATTTCGGTATGACTGCTTAGGAAAGATGAAGAAAAGAGGTATAAGTCAGGTTCAGGTTTCTTCTGTCTTTTCACTTGTGCTGAAACCTTTTTTTAATGGAAAAAATTAAGGTCTTGATAATGAGGAAAGACATTAATCTTGCGGATGCAGATTGACTCTCTAATTACTGAAATGATACTTAAAATCTACTTAGAGCAGTTTGCAATAAAACACTCTTATGAGGTCAGTTTGAAGTTACTTAGAACAATGTTGAGATTCTCCTTGCAATTTCCTCTGTCTGATGTATCAAGAGAAAAAGGACATAGAATCGTAGAATCACAGAATCATTAAGGTTGGAAAAGGCCTCTAAGATTATCGAGTCCAACTGTTATCTTAACACTGTCAGGTCCAGTAGTTTATAATCAAAGTGCCATGCTAAGAGTGAAGCTGATTGCATTCTGTGTCCAAACTTTTTTTAATCTGCTACAGATGTTGTTGGTCTGCCTTATGAATAAAAATTTCCCTCTTTTTCTTTCTTTGATGATGTTACCCTTACAAGAAATGCTAATTTTAGATGATATGCATGGGGGCTTTAAGCTGTGGAAGGTGTTTGCAGTGTTCTTGACTGTGTTCTATTTATAAGAAAAATAACTCTTATCTCCTGTCATTCTCTGTTGATTACAGTGAATTAAGTATTGAAAACTGGATTATGCCTGCTGTTTATGCTGGCCATATTTCTCAAGTAGTATGGCTTCATCCACCCTGGGCTCAGCAGATCTCAGAAGGAAAACACGATTTTTTAGTTGGGAAAGACATATCAACGACGACAATCAGGTAAATTGTCTGCTGTCATATACTTGTAAGATAAAAGCTCTCTCTATAGCTTTTCATTGCCATTTTTTGTGTTCTCGGATAAAGATGAAAATTTAATTTGTATTTGTGGTTTCCTTAGAAGCTAATGCAGTTCAACTTGTATCTATTTAGTCTTTGGCCTAGCTAGTAAAATTTTTATTTATTTATTTACTTTGCTTGTTTGGGTTTTGGTTTTTTTAAGATAATCTACTAGTTAAGCACTGAAACAGGTACTCAGGTGGTGAATTCTCCATCCTTTTATAAAGGATAATTGACCTGGGCAGCCTCATCTAGCTTTGAAGTTCGTTCTGCTTTGATCAGGTGATAGACTAGAGACTTCCAGATGTCTCTTTCAATCTTAACCATTCTATGATTCAAGTTCAAATCAGAGCTCCTCATCATTCTGCAGGATGCAGTCCGTGACAATTTTGCATTCACCATATTCACTGCATTGTGATTTTGTACAGCTTTAATGGACATCTGGAAATCATGTCTCTTGTCAGCATATCAAAATAAATCTTTTGAAGTAAGTTTAACAAAAGACAGCAGGGAAATGCTTTCTTTAACACCTTAAATAAAATGCTGAAGCTCTACAATACTGAATCTGAAGCCTAAAGTGAACCTATATAATAATAAAAAAAAATATTGCTTTCAGTTACATTTAGTCATTTAACCACTATATAGAAATACTTCATGATGGCTGAATAGCTCTCCCAGTAGTGGACTAGGCAATCATGAAAAGAGCATTTCAGTTTTCCTATTAAAGATGGTCAGGTCCCTTTACTTTAGATTCTAGTCTTTCCAAAGGTAACCATGAGGGAAGAAAAAGAAAGTCCTCAGAAATACAAACTTCCTGAAAGTTTTCTTGTCAGCAGATTCATAAGTAATAGATACCTTAGTTAGTGTCCACTAAGGAAAAGGCATGAGCATGAGCTCATGTTAAACCTTGCAGAATTTCTGAGAAGATGCCCTGGGAGTGCTGCGTCAACAAGATTAAGTTGTGATCCAACCTGTCATCTTGGCAAACTCAGGATAATCCATCCACAAGCCACCGGGTAGCTAAGCTTCAAATTTCTGCTGTTTATGAAATTATTTGTGTTTGTGGTCGATTGATGGTGATGCCCTGTAATCGGATGAAGCCTTAACACAAGCGAGCAGAAGTTCACACTTCTTAAACTTATTTTTAATCTGAGTTTGTGATGCTCATGGCTTAATGCTGAAATATGTACTGAAATATGGCTTGAAAATTCTATTCTTTAAATTTTCACTGTAAGCAGAGTTTTTAGTGTTGTTGGTTTCGGTTGGTTAGTTTTGGGTTTTTTTATTTAAGTGCTTTCAATTGATAGCTGGCTATTTATCCTCTAGCTACCATCTCTCTCACTTGGAACAGGGAACCTATGTCAGTGATAAAAAGTTAAATTCTACCTATTAATAATATTTTACTTTTAATAAATAAATATTTATGCATTTCAGGGCACTTCTCAAACCAAATTAACATAATTTTCATGTAAAGGTAGAAAACCGAGACAAAATATCCATAGCTTTGCAATCTCATATGCCGTAATATTGACACTATCTGCATGTTGTCTTTAAAATGCAATTCAATGGCAAATTAATCTTAGAAGCACATAATGTAGAATCTTTTTCATATCCATTAAAACCTTGTAGGCCTATCATAAAATAGAGAAGAAATGTTAAGATATTTATTCCACAATAAAGAAGCAGAAAAAACTTTAAGTAAAAAAACTGAGGATTAAAAGAAATATTTTATCTACACATTTTTATTGCTTTTGTTACCCATCAAGCGTCTGTTCATTCTTCTCAGGATCCCTAAAGCATACATGCTTTTTCCTGAGCTCTTTGCCAAGATGTATATTAACTGTGAGTTATTGTCAATTGTAGGGTTACAGGCACAGATCATTACTTTTTAAGTGATGGTCTTTATGTTCCTACTGATCAGCTGGAAAACCAGAAGCCTTTAAATTTACATGTCATTCTCATCAATCCTACTGAATCGTCGAACAGCCACGAAGGAAATGGTGAAGTCACAGCTGCTAAAAGACTGAAGCTAAATACAGATGTGACAGAAAGCACAACTTCTGGTTCTTCATCAGTGGCTCTTGGTGACCTTGATCACAGCACCCCAAGTGTGAAGAAAAAGGAATTACAAAATACAAGTGTCCTGAACAAGGCAGAAACCTTGTCAGAGTGCTCAGCTTCAAGCTGTCCCAGAAACAGTGAATGCCCAATAAGGGAAATTGCTAAAGATATCTGCCAAATACTGCAGAAAGGGGATGCATATGTTTTGGACATTGACTTAGATTTTTTTTCAGTTAAAAATCCGTTCAAAGAAATGTACACACAGGTAAGCATGACAATTGAATGGCCTTGTACCATTCATAAAAGAGTACCAGTCCTAGCATTTGTCTCTGGAGAAACTTTCATGAATTAGCAGATCTGCTGATCATGGTTAATGATTCATAGTAATATTTTAAGGAGAGACTTTTTAAGGAATTGTATATGCCAAAAAATTATGACAACCAAATAGAGGGAGGTCATCAGTATTGAGTGTGCACTCAAGCTCAGAGGTATTGTCTCTCTTCTGCTTCTTGCTTGGGACATAAAAACTATGCTTGGGTTTCCAAAGTAACACTCCAAATAGCCACAGCAAGATTCATCAGGGAGAATTGACAGAATGTATAATTTTTTACCCTCTATAACATGCTGTTGGAAAGCCCCAGTGGTATCAGGAGACTGCCTTTCAAAACGCATGGTGGTGGTGTTTATCCAAGGAGTGGTAGCTTGTCCTGGTGAGAGGCTGTTATACTCGTTTGCAGTACTAGAGTAGGGAAGTGATGACCACATTTTTTTCGGAAGAAAGAAGGCTTTGAGGATTTGGTTTCTCATTTGAAGAGTCTAATTTTTCGCCTTTTTTTGTTTGGTTTTCAAAGACAGAATATAAGCTTTTGCAAGAGTTGTACAATTTCAAGAAGCCTCATGAAAATGCAACAGAGGTATGTTATTTCCTTGTGGGATGTAAGAGGGAATGATTCTTTTGATTTACCCAATAGAAATGAGTTACGACAACAGGAAGGAACCTATCAAAGGTGCTTAATGAAGTGATCTCAAATTAAGCTGTGCGACATGCTGAACGCTAATCAGCAGCATCTTAGGAATTCTTTCCTATTAAACGTTTTGATTAAACATGTGAATTGCATAAATATTTAGCATAAGTGTGGAATTTAATTTCAGTAAACAAACGGTAATTGACAAGGAAGGAATGAAAACATAGTAAGTCATCTGCAGTCTTGTTCTTTTTATGGCTCAGCAGGGCTTAGGTCCTGTGGGATTTTTGCTTGGGTTTTTTTTGGTGGCTGGTTCTTCTTTTTGTTTTTCTTCCATTCAGGCTCTCTCCTTCCTTGTCCTACTTGCTCTTCCTTGGGTGGCTGGTGCTTCTTTTTGTTTTTCTTCTATTCAGGCTCTCCCCTTCCTTGTCCTACTTGCTCTTCCTTGATAGCAAGAGGTGTGCTGAATGCTTAATTGGTATTTTACTTGTTTGTCTAGACGTGGAAAGATGGTATTATGCCACTGTAATGTACTTCTCATTTTATGTGCTGTGTGCTTCTGAATTGTGGAAATGTAAGCTTTCATAGTCTCATCTGAACACTGTTAAAGAGAGATTCAGCACATATAATTATTGCAAACTAATGAAACCTAATTAATAGGCATGTATAAAATTGAGACACGTGGAAGACTGGAAAGTTGATTTTCATATTTCTTAATCAATAAAAACAGGTATGTATTTGAAAGCTGGCTGGTTTAAATTATTTGTGGGAAGGACATCAAAGTGAGGTGATTTATTCTGAAGGTATATCAGCTTCTGCAGACATTCATTCATTCATTCATTCTGATCCTCTTGAAAATACGTGCTGTAGTAATGAATCAGATTCCCCACTTCCACTAGATCTGTCATTTCAGAATTTTAATCATAGGGCAAGCCATGACATTCTTAGTTCTTCTGTTTCCTAACATACTTTTATATGTGCTTATTTAAAGGAAGGCTTGGTGGATTGTGTTGAAAACCGTGTTCATCAGCTAGAAGATCTGGAAGCAGCATTTGCGGATCTGTGTGACACTGATGATGAAGAAACCCTACAGAAATGGGCTTCATATCCTGGGTAGGAGATTTCTAAATGGCTTCAAATGCAAACAGTAGTTTTGAAACTGGTTAGTCCAGTACTTTGGTAACAGAAAAGGATAGGATCTATGCAAGGATACCATTTTCCCTTTAGTTCTAGAGGAGAAAGGGTCCGACAAAACAAAAGGAAAGGCAGTCTGCTGCCTCCAGCACTATTGTAAGCCTTCAAAGCTCAGCCTTGTACAGCCTCACACAAATTCTGTTATCTGTGGATGGAGGCATGTTTGGTGACTAAAAATATAGTCATGGGTGTGTAGCAGAGCTCTCAAAAAGCAACAGACTAAAGAGGATATGGAGAAGGAATTCTTTGGTGCTCCCGAAAGTTCTGCTTTCTGTGGAGAAATGGAAGTGAATGAAAGGTTGTACCTGAGCAACAGTCTCCACTAAACATCTGAACCGCATCACTTTGCATTTTCCACATCAAATGCAGCAGTTACTGTCAGACCTCTGGAACAGTGACCAGTATTTCTTATCAAGTTCACATGACTTTTGAGCTACACCACCTTCTCTGCAGATTACCCTAAAAAGTGCAAAGAGGACTTGCCAGAGGCAGATGTGAGTATAGGGACTTCTTAGGAAAGACCTGGTGAAACACTACAATAGTTCCGAGTTCAATTTTTCAGGTGCAAGATGACACACAGAGGCAAGTTTCATTTTCAAATCCTAGGCCATAATAACGAATAACTTCTATTTCCCTCCTTTTTTGCCTCCCCTTTTCATTCTTTTTTTTTAACCACTTGAGGTATATACATATTTGTAACAAATTTTGGTTTTGTTTGAACTCCAGAATGCAGCCACTTGTTCAACTAGTTCACAGCTTGAAAACTAGGATGGAAAGCCCAGATTACGAAATGGTAGGTGACAAGGTAAAAGAGTATAAAGTAGACAGATTTCAAAAGTGTGGCTTCAGCGGGGAGGGAAAGTTCATATTTCATTTCAGACTTGCTTCTTGATTCAGGACTTTGTGAAATTTTGGTAGTTTTCCTGGGGTTTTATGTCTTATTACTTAGGCCAGCTTTTGTTTTTAAAGCTACTAAAGTTCAGCTCTGCTTATCTATATTTAGGCAACATTAGTGTGATCTTTCAGAATTGTGATGGTTTGGGCTGTGTGGCCTGTGAGGGGAGGTTTCATTTTGCTGGGGTCTGTTGGCAATGCTTTATAGAACTTAAGATAAGGTACCTATTAGTAAAACATCAGAGCTATCATCTTCAAGGGCTGTGGCATACTCTGAATTCATAGGAGAGGTGCAGTGTCCTGGAGATAATGAAACAATCCATACAACCTCCAGAATTTTACTGGTTTTGTTTAAAGTCTGAAGAGGTGTAAGTTACCTACTAGTTTTGTTTAAAGAACAAGTCTGAAGAGGTGTAAGTTACCTACTGAATTAGGGATCATTTCTTAGAGTTTTTGTACAGGCAAGATGTATTTAGTAATTCATTAGCAGCAATTCAATCTCTGTTTAATTTACCTGTAGGTCCATCAGGCTGGTCTGACCTGTGATTATGTGGAGCTTCCTCACCATGTTAGCACCGAAGAGGAGATCGAAGGCCTCATACAATCCATTAAAGTTCTACTAAAAGATATGCCAAAGCCCACACTTGTGACAGTTGCTCGGTAAGACTGTGTATATACTTTTACTTTAAAATGCTCTGGCTGTGCTTATGAAGATAAATGATTCTATCAGTATAACACTAGTTGGTACATATTAAGTTCTGTATTAAAGTAGAAGCCATGTAGTGAAAATTGACATTTAAAAACATTTATCATAAAGCAGTGACAGCATCTACACAGCTAAGGGAAGGTTCTGTGCTGATGACCAGTTTTACTGGGATTTAGAGTAGCTGGCACACATTTCAAAAGCAGCTAAAACATGATGACCCAGTCAGCTTCAGCACAGGCTGTGTACAGCCTGTGATGAGGCCTCGTGTTGGGGTTGATAGCTGTCACTGGAGTTCATACATCTCCACTATTTTCATTGCTTGTGCTAGTTAGAGCAACGCTAGCTTAGACAAGCCTGCATGGGCTGAAATCCCACCTTCCTTGCTTTCTTGCTGTGGGGTTTATTGTACTACAGGTGGATTTCTGGTTTTAGTGGAACTGCCTAGAACTGGTTTTCATCTAGTAGGCCAAAAGGGGTTTATATTCTATAATGCTCTAATAAAGCTTTTTTATGGAGTAAAAGCTACGCTTCCATGACTATAAGGGTATTACTTGGGAGAACAGGATAGAGTTTGAGGCCAAGGACCCAGGAGAACCAGGGATCTGTCCTGAGAAGATGTAATTTGAAGACCACGGGGTATCTGTTGACAAATTGTTGCAGTTTTATCATGCAGAAATACTAAGGGTGCCCTTAAATGGCAGTCAAGAGTAGCAGAAGCTGATACGAAGCTGGTTTTGTCAACAAGAAATAGTATGGCTAATACCTGCAGTGAAGGAAGGCTCTATTCCCTGTGCCAATTGCGGCAGTTACCATCTGCTGTTGTGGAAAAAGAGTATTCCCTGTGCCAATTGCGGCAGAGTTACCATCTGCTGTTGTGGAAAAAGACAGAATCATCACTAAAGATTCTGACAAACAACAAAATCAAGAAGCATCACCTCTGATTTTTTACTAATGTCTGTTTGCAGTTCATTAATAGATACTGTAAAAAAGGTTATATCCCAGGGATTGTGAAGATTTGTTTTTCAAGTTTTCCTACCTACTTTACTAGTAGCATTTGAATTTTTCAATCTTCCCTTTCCACATGTCCTTTAATTAGATCATTTGATTGAATTTTGACTGCCAACATGTTCTGTGTCAGGTTTAGGAAGAGATTAGAATTGGAAAGAAGAATAGGTCATGTTCCTGATCTGCTGCAGACTTTCTGTTCAACTTAAAGTAGTGAGGAGAGGCACAACACTAGACTTTGAAGGGATACTGGGAGGCAGAACGTGCCACAGTTTGAAAAAAAACTTCAGCCTGGCCACAGAGCATTTCAAGAATACAAAATGTGATCATGGTGGTGATATCTGTATTTTCATGCTTTTTTCAATTCCTTATTACAGATCAAGTTTGGATGACTACTGCCCTTCAGAGCAGGTTGACATCATTCAAGAGAAGGTTCTCAATTTACTCCGTTCAGTGTACGGCCCTCTGGATGTGCATTTAGATTACTCAAGCACTTCATCTTTGTGACATTTCTTCATGTATTGTCATCTAATGCAGTGGATTAATTTAAATTGTATATTAGCTATGGTTGCAAGGGGAAAACTACTGTTGATTCACCAGGTGGCACTAGAACCCAAGCTGACCCAGAGCTAGTTTTGAGTTGCATTGCTTTCTCCAAGTCAGCTGCATCTGAACTGTTCATTACCTGTTTGGCTTTGTTCAGATTAGTTCTGCGATTATTATTTTTACTGTCTTGCTCCTTAAAATTGGTGCAAGAGAAACAACTTTTGGTCTATAAAATGTTTTCTTTGATTTCTTTGTGTTTGTAAATAAAATAAAAGATATTATTTCTTAAAATAAATTGATTTCTTTTATATAATTAAACTTTTCTTTTTTAATTGACTAGGTGAGTAACAGATTTGTGCCTGAGTTGTATTGTATGTTCTAAAAAATCATCTGACTTATTCCCTTAGGACAATAGGTCTACATAGTGATCATTCTTAATTGCTGTACTTGAGATGACCCTCTCATTTCTCTAAAGCAGCTTATGCCTTCTTGGGACTCAGCCTTCCCTTATAAGTGAGGTGCTCTAGTCCCTTTATTGCCTCCTGCTGGACTCCAGGAGCTCCATGTTCCTCTTGTACTGAGGAGCCCAGAATTGAGCACAATACTCCAGATGTGGCCTGAGGAGAGCTGAGTAGAGGGGCAGGATCACCTTCCTTGACCTGCTGGCCATACTTTCCCTAATGCATCCCAGGATTCCATTTGCCTTCTTGGCCACAAGGGACAAGCCACCCCTGCTCCTTCCTTTGGCACCACTGGGGAGTGAGAATGCCCACTTTGGAGGGCATTTGCAGATATTCCTCAGCAGCAGAAATATGCAAAGACAGCTCTATCTTAATTGTGATACAGCTTCGGTCTGAGCATTTTGATATAAGCAGTAAAAGTATCATGCCTTTGCTTGCAGAACAAACTAGGGTCTTAAACCAGATACTACTGAGCAGTGACTGCCTTCCCTGTGCATGACCAGCCCTTTACACCAGCCACACTGCATGTCCCCTGCTTGTCACTGTGGAACAAAATGAGCTTCTTCAAGAAAAATGGACACGGGATGAGTCAGATGGCTGAGGTTACCGTGTCCTCTGTTACCATTTCTTCCCCTCACAGGCTTCTGTTTCTGGCAACTGTCCCTTCCCTTCCCCTAGTAACTGCACTGTGAGTCAGTCTCCTTAGTCTCTGGCAGAACTGGACTGTGGGGATCAAAGTCAACTGCATAAATATTTTCCTTCTGCTGCTGCTGCTGTTAAAGGAAATAAGTCTCCAGCAAAGTCACTCCTGAGGGAAGAGACCCTTCCCTGGAGGTATTTAGAAGATGTGTGAGTATGGCACTTAGGGACATGGTTTAGTGGTGGACTTGACAGTGCTGGGTTAACAGACTCAATGGTCTTAGAGGTCTTTTCCATCGTAAAGAGTTCTATAATTCTGTTTCTAGGAGACCCAGGATGTGGGTCCTGTATCCTTATACATCCAGTGGGCAGCACCAGGAAGGGCTCCTTCTGTCCTTAGTGGCCCCTGACCCAGCAAACCCAGTCCCAGCTCCTGCCTTGGTACAGACCTCCACCCTCACCCTCATCAGCTTCAGCTGCAGAACTGTCTTGGGAGAGAGGCAGTCTGGCTAGAATTGTTAGCACACAGTTTTACTCAAGGCCCTTGTGTTTGTTTTTCACTACTTTACTGTATAAGCAAACATTACATTATGTGCAAACTTAAGGCTAGACTTTCCAAAACAGATCTAACGTGTCCATCCCTCACCTATCCTAGGTGATACTAAATCTTAGATTTATTCAATGTACAGTGTCAGTCAAGAAATATCTCCCAGCAGTGTTATTAATATGGAACTGAGATACTACACTGAATATCACTGTACTCAAGAAACATCTCCCAGCAGTGTTATTAATATGGAGCTGAGATACTACACTGAATATCACTGTACTATGTTATCTTCTAATGTTTGTCCTTTGTACTCTGCTTGCTACCCAGTATCACTTCCAGTCATTCTTGTTATTGCCATAAACATGTTTTGGAAAACACAAATTTAATAAGACTTCAAGGTGTATGAAAGCCTTCTGGAATGCTCTATCCTGCACCAGGTGGTCCTTCCCTGCTATTTGATTTTGCTCAGCTCTAAATGCTAGCAGCCAAGCTAACTCAAATACCTGACTTCAATGTATCAAAGCCTGCCTTGGGGCTTTCTTGTCTTTGCTTCAACTTTATTTATTTTCTCACCTTAAGGTGGTACAGGTCACCAGCTACTCATTCCCATTAACACTGAATTTCTGCTGTCATCTGTGTAATTACAATTGCCTGAACTCCGATACCCCCTTGTTCCAGCCAGCCCACTGCCTTCTCAGGTCCTCCCTACCTTGGCTCTAGGCCAGTCATTAATCTGGGAAGTGGCTGGTCCTCCTCAATCAGCACACAAGTCTAATTCTCCAAAGGCAACCCTGATGTGGTAAATCTCAGTCCTTCCTCACACCATGATTTTATTATTTTTTTTTAAGTGTGGCAGTGTGAGAATTCCTGTAACTAAAACCAGAACTTGGATGGATTCTGTTTCCAAGCCTCTGAGTGCTATTTTATTTCAAGTAAATATTAGACTTCTCAAAAGCTGATGCATTAGTGACCTCATTCAGTTTTCTGATTGTAGACCACAGTCCTTAAAAATATGTAAGTACAAGACTCCTCTAAGCCCTGAACGCCATAGTATTAAATATTCTACTTCAGCCACCTCTAATGCTAGTGTTATACATCCTGCTTTAAGTCATAGCACAAGACTCCTCTAAGCCCTGAATGCCATAGTATTAAATATTCTACTTTAGCCACCTCTAATGCCAGTGTTATACATCCTGCTTTAAGTCATAACCCTGTGCACAAGGCAAAGTGACACTAAAATCATCAAACGACACCTCATTAAAGGAAGGGTAACTAGTCATACAGTCATGCTGCTTAAGCCTGCTGCAAATATGTCCTCATAATTTGGTCTAACAGCTGAAAAGAAGGACCTTACAGTGAACAAAATGCCTGGGACTGGCCCCATGAAGAAGAAGCGCTTTTAAAGCACTGAATGCTATTGGGGATGAATTCCCACTAATATGTTTACTTTTGCTGCTGCCTATGATTCTTCAGGTTTCCAAGGAAACTCTGGTAAATGCCTGACACAGGGCAATAAACTTTTGAATAATGACTAGAAACAGGAAAGCGTCTGCTCACTTTAGAGTATTTTTAGGACAAAATTCCAAATATAAATGTGCTATATTAGTCCCTTCTTTTGTGTCTTACACCCTTCCCCTCCCTGCCACAGACACTCCCTCAATTTCCATTTTTCCCTTTTGTGTTTTTATGTCTAATTTTTGATGCCAAATTTTGTAATTCATAATTGCTAACTATTGTTTAGATAATTTTAAAAAATCCACCTTTGATTCACTGGCAGCAATGAATCTTCAGCATTTTTATGTGTAATTTTATGTGTTTGTAAAAATTTTCCATACTGAGTTGGTCAAAATTGCTGATGTTAGAATGTGTTGTTTCAATGTGGAGTCTTGTAAATATTTTTACGTAAGATTGAGAAAATGTATGAATAAAAGGAATTGAATCTTAAGCATTAAATATTTTATTTTAAATACTATAAAAATGTTCCAACTTATGTATTTCAGAAGAAAAATACATTTTTTGATTGAAAAATATTAAATTTACCAACTGTAGCTAAGAACAAGAAGAATATTGTCAACCAGGATGCTAAAATGCTGTCAAAAACTTAACAATTGTGGGTTGGTGGTTTATAGTACTTAATTTTTTTTCTGTATTTTTCTTCCCAAAGCAGTCCTTGTCATATTTTACATCGCATTATCTAATGCAAAAACAAAAAAAATATTAAAATACCCACCACAATGGTCTGCAAGTCACATCAGCTTCCAAGTCTGTTTCCAAGAGCTCCCTTTCAGTGATGTCCATAGTTTCACAGTTCATCAATAAAATCCATGAAAAGGCTTTAAAAGCTAGATCCTTTATTGTAAATAATTTATTTACTACAGTTAGCTTTCTTCTCTGTTAGTAAAAAGCATAATCTACTTCTGGATTTTACATACTGTTTTACTATGTGCAATGGTTTGATTTCTTGCATGAAGGAAAAAGAGCTTTCCAGAATGTTTGTTTTTTTGCACCAAAGAGTCTTTTATTCCTGATAATATTTATATTATTTTTGTGTGAAAACTTTCTTCCACTGTCTGCTCCTCTTTCTTCTCTGTGGTGAGTTTTCAAATTAGGCCAGTACTTATTTGATCCCAACATAAACTTATTTTGTCATATTGTCTTGGTTTTGCCTGTTTCTTCTCTGAGTTTTCAAGTTAGGTCAGTACTTATTTGATCCCAACAGAAACTTATTTTGTCATATTGTCTTGGTTTTGCCTGGGGTAGGGTTAATTTTTTCTTAGTAGCTGGTAAAGTGCTCAGTTTGGGATTCAGTGTAGAATAACTTTGATAACACACTGATGTTCTGGCTGTTGCTAAGTAGTGCTTACCCTAAGTCAAGGACTTTTCAGTGTCTCATTCTCTGCAGTTGAGGAGCTGCACAAAAAGCCAAGAGGGAGCATGGCCAGGACAGCTGGGACAAGGGATATTCCATACTACAGAATATCCTGCCCAGTATATAACCTGGGGGAATTACCCAGAAGGGGAACTGACTGATGCTCAGGATTAGGCTGGGTATCAGTCTGCAGGTGGTGAGAAATTGGATTGCCTATAATTTGTTTCTATTACATTTTATCTCTCGCTCTCTCCCTCTCCTTTCTTATTGTTGTTGTTGTATTATTATAATCAACATCATTATCATTATATTTTATTTTGTTTAAATTTTTAAACTGTTCTTATCTCAACCCAGGAGTTTTAAATTTTTTTCCTGATTCTCCTCCTCAGCCCTTCAAAGGCAAGGAGAGGGGAGTGAGCAAGTGGCTGTGTGGTACTTCGTTGCTGGTTGGGGTTAAACCACAATGGATATGAAAATGACAATATTATGAATCACTTGAGAAAAGTTAATATGCAATTGAACTTGTAAACATTGGGCAGATATGAATAAGTATATATGATCAATAGCTTTAGAGATTTGCCCATAAAAAGCATTATAAAGAGTTATAAACAGCTTATTGGTCTCTGGTCTTAGAAGAAACTGTAGCTAAATTCTACAGCTGGAAATCCCTCAAATGTCCATTAGTGCATACCTGTAACTCTACACACAGTCTGTAATGATAGTGTGCAAAGCCATTCATCT